GTTGACATTTTCCCTGAATTATCTATTGTTGTTCCCCCAATTGCTTAAGCAGACACCTCCATATAGATTCCCTCACCTTCAGGGTCCTTTACACTTCACCACACAGTGAAATGGATGGAATCACCGAACCATCATAAGCCATGGCACTATCTGGTTTGGAAGTCCCTTTCGGTACCTCGATGCAAATTCTCCATTTGGCTCGCAGTGCAAAGCAGGCTTTCCACACTTGACCGGAGAAGTATGAGAGATGTACCTGGACCGAAGACATGTCACCTATGCAATTTAGGTGATGAAACACATGACCACCTGTTCTTCGCTTGCCAATTTACGAGACCAATATGGATCTCTCTACAGGATAAGTGCAAATTTCATGCTCCGCCTTCATCATAGAATTCGTTGGTAGGGTGGGCTTCGCATAACAGGGTAGGAAAGAACTTGGGGTGTGTAGTCAAAAAACTCATGCTGTCCACAGCCATCAACAAAATCTGGCAATGTAATGACCCTGTCATTTTCTTTCCTTCCCTTTTCTTAGATTTTCACAGATATTTTTTTTCCGTTGATCTTTTCCTTTCTGAGCTCGGTTTCTTGTCACTTAGTGTCATCTTGAGTGCATGGGGATGGTTTCTGAGACTCTTTTTCATGGATTGACGACTTCCTTTGAGAACCGAGTCATTTTCATATTTTCACTTTTGTGACACTATTAACCTTTCGTCTTTTTCTCGGTTGTCACTTGTTGGCATAACCACATTTTTTGTGTTCGGATTCAATTCTGGTTTTGCATGCATCCACGATATTTAAATTCCATACTATGTGCATTTTCACTTTTGTAGAAAAGCATGCTAAGTGCTTACTTTTCTTATAAAGGGTATAGACGCATAACATTTTTGTAATTTTCCTAACTTTAGGGGTTTTGTGTAATTACTATAAAATAATTATTTTTCGTCTTAAGGACCATTTTGCAATTTAATTTGAGAGATATTTTCAAAAAGGACCTTTTTGCAATTTCCAAAAAGTGTGACAAATGTCACACTCTCATTGGTCCACTTGTTGACATTTGTGTGGAGACACTTTGAGGCCGTGGATGATGACACATGGAGGGTGAAGATTCACCCACTTGTTGGCCTAGGATTGGTGCACTTGTTGGCTTGGATGGTTGGCTAGTGTAGGCTTAGGATTAAGCCTACAATGGATGCTTGGATGAGTGATAAGTGTAAGCTCATAATTTGATCTTGCATTAGTATGTGTGTGAGAGGTAGTGTAAGAGCACATAGTGAGTGGAGGATCTCTATCCCCTCCACTCACATTTCATCATCATCATTTTCCATTTCCTCCCTCTCTTGTAAAGAAAACCCTAGCCTCCATGGATGGAGCTTAAAGCCTTAAGCTTTGACCTTGATTTTTGAGAGCCTTTCATTGATTTCCAAGCTTGAACTTGGGAATACTTTTTGTTCCCCTCATCCTCCTCTTCATAACCCTTGAAGGGTTTACCATTTTGTGTTGATTGGCCTTAGATTCTAGAGAGACACTTCTCTAGTGAGGTAGGGGATGTTATAGGGTTATATGTTTTTTCTTGCATGCTATTGATGCTTTTATAAGTTGTATGCATGTCTTTTGTTAAATTGAGAAATTATTGATTTATCATATCTTACATATAACTCATTTTAGACTTGGTAAATGGCATTGCCATGAGTTGATCTTTGATATATATTAATTTGGGATGATTTAGATGAGTTTTCAAATCTAAAGATTAAATGGATTTAATTTGATTTAAATTCTAGTAAATTGTATTTTACTTGTATTCCATTTTAGACTTGAGATATGGTATGACCATGATTTGGTGCTTGATATATATTAATTTGGGATCATTTGAATAACTTTTGAAATCTAGAGATTTGATTAATTTAAATTAATTAAATTCTATATGATGCTATCTTACTCATTTGACACTTTTGATTTGATATATGTAATGAACATGCTATATTGTTTAACATATATTAATTTGAGGTTATTCGAATTTAATTTGAAATCTAGAAAATTTGATTATCTTATTTAATTAAATTCTATCTAATGGCTCCATGGATCTATTGGTATTTTAGAAGTTGTTTCTATATTTAAATCATGGACTTGAACTTATTATGTATTCACTTTGTTGTGTTTTGAGCATTGAACAACTTTGTTGTTATATTTATATTCATGAGAACATGTTTTCTTTATGGAATATATTGATGCCATGTGTAGTGAATTGCACACTTTGTAATTGACATTATATATGTCATTTTAGAATTGAAACTCTAAGGCATGGATTGTGTGGTTTCAACCTACTTGCTCATGGAAGGTGTTTTTATGCATTATATAAGTTATGTATAAGTTGTGAACTTATTTGGTTTATTTTTAGAATATTGAGACATTGTTGCTACAAGTGACATGGCTAGAGTTTGGCTCTAGTGCGGAAAGTATGAGTTCTCCCCAATTGAGATAGTGCGCACTTAGGGTGGTCTTCCCTGCGGGTTAGTGCCCGAAATAACCATTGAGGTTTCAGCAGAATTCTGAGCTTAGATGTCTAAGTCTTCCAGTATTTGATTTCGCATCCAATTCCAAGTTAACAATCATGTTTATATTGTAACTTGTGGTTTTGGTTATTGGCGATTTTGATGTTGTTAAGTACATCCATGTTTATAATTTTAATGAATCATTTTAATATTGTTAAGTACATCTATGTTTATGATTTTAATTAATCATTTTGATGTTGTTAAGTACATCTATGTTTTATGATTTTTGTGAATCATTTTGTTGTTGTTAAGCGCATCTATGTTTTATGATTTTAGTGAATCACTATGAACTTTGATTTTGTTAAGTACATTATGCCTTATATGTTCAAATGTGGTTTAGGAATGATCCTATAGATTCATTTGGAACATAGACGTTAGGTGGCATGACCCACTTTGGTTATTCTAGCATTTAGATTTCAAGTTGATAACTTTCAGAATCTACATCTTGTTGCTTCGTATAGCATGCTCCCATGTTACTTGAATTGCATGAATAATGTGATTTATGCTAGAAATGATCTAGGGTAGCTTAGGATGCTCCCTGAATCCAACCTTGATATAGACGTTAGGTGGCATAAACCCCTTCAACATGTTTCACCTTAAGGTGATCAAATTGTAAAAAGTTAGGTCGATGCATGCTCATCTCCTACGAGTAGCTTTATGTTACTCACCCACGTTGTGGGGACATTTTTCAGGTACGAAGACTTGGTTCGTGATGCTCATCATTCCTTGGATGGCTTGTAGTTCTTAAGTTTCCATTTCATGCAAATGTTAGCATGAGATTATGTTTGCGTGCATATTCGTTTCAAAATCACTTATTACGTTTGCGTGCATATTCGTTTCAGCCTAGAAGTACATTTGGGGTCAAATGTATGTTTGGTGCAAATTCACATTTTTGCCGTTTTGAGCCTAAACTGAGCATAAGGGCATTTTGGGTTTTATCAAGAAAAATAAGATTTTCTTTTGGCATGGTTAGCTAGAAAACATGATTTTGAGGGGGGTTTTTTCTTTGTATTTTTTCAAAAAGGCCCAGAAAGTCCTTAAAATTGCATTTCAAGTGCAGCCTACAACAGTTGGAGCGCTCCAAGTGGGGTTCGAGCGCTCGAAGATGGGGCAGAGAGTTTTGGCTTTTGGGTGTGTGCCGTTCGAGCTCTCGAAGCCCTTGCACGAGCGCTCGAGGTACTGTTCATGTGGGTGTGTATTTGTGTCTTGGTTTAGCATTACACCTCCGATTTCAAATCATCATATCTTCTTCGTTTTAACTCCAAATTGGTCCATTCTTGAGTCTAAATTGACCGCGTTGAAATAAGCTTTCTAATGGTACCAATTAGAGCTTTAGATTCTTCTTGTAACTCAAGTTATTCAAGTTTTAGTAAGGTAGTGTCTGTTTTTGGTTCGAACTGGGATAGGGTTTCCCTTTTGTAATCTCAAGTTATGGACCTCTTAAGATCCTTGGTTATTTTGGAAGGTTCCTCTGAGATTGCAATTTTCGTGGGCGGGTACGTTTGTGGGCGGGTGCATGG